GTGTGTGTGTGTGTGTGTGTGTGTGTGTGTGTGTGTGTGTGTGTGTGTGTGTGTGTGTGTGTGTGTGTGTGTGTGTGCGTGCGTGCGTGCGTACGTGCGCGCGTGTGTGGATGTGCGTGGGTGCGTGTGTGTGCGTGTGTGTGTAAAGCGCGCTGGCACTGGACGAAATATAATCATCTAAAAACCGTAAGAAGAATCAATAGACTTTCGCACTATGAAACACTATCCTCATTTCCCTCTTATACTTAGCGGAGACATCAATAAACATTTCGCTTGTCACGGTTCAACAAAAGAAGATAGCACAACTTCGCAATTAGTCTAGATAGTGTGCATGCCTATGATGGTTGGTATATTTTTTTAGCACGCACATATACAACTCGCTGGCGCATGCACCCGCATCTATACTAGCGTACTTTCCGATCGCACCTTGCTAAAACGAAACTAAACCCAGACAAACAAAAATGCGACCCACACAAACTAAAGCAATGGAAACACGACCATTGTGATTATCGATTTAGCCGTTTCCGTGTTATGCCTATTCGGCGATACGCACATTCCTACAAAAACCACACTATACACAATCACGCACTCACTGAAAATTAAAGCCGGCGATAATGGTAGGAACACGTGCATAATTGATGAGGCAGACGGCTACGCGTATTCGTTTGGAACCTGCTTTCTAGCATTAGCGACGGCTACACCGGCATGTCACCGTTCGTACATCCGCGTGCGAGCGCCATGATTATGCTATTATCACATTCGTGAACGGAAATGCCTAGCCCGACACCCAGGCACATCACGGACACATATTTCCTTTCAATGAACGCCACCTGCTCCCCCCTCCCCCACTCCCGCAATCACTTTTATATCACTTTTATATACAATTAAGTACGGACAGCTAAACACACAGACAGTCCATGGTGTACCGCAACGGCAAGCGAACCAATCAAGTGTGTGTTGACGACCGAACGAAAAACAATACGTACGTTACGCTGCCTAGTCTAGAACATTCGGGAAAACGAGTTAAAATCCGCACAGCAGCAGCCGCGTTTCGCATCTACACCGCAGCAAATCTTAGCGGCGAATGCCATCCCGGATTTCACCATCATATGATGTGTACCACTCGAACACACCTGCGCATCGGCATGTAAAACACACCAATATACCGAAGCAAAGACGGTTCATGCTGAGTTGTCTCGGCCCGACTACGCGGGACCTCATCACAGTGATCTGACGCACGTACGTACACGAGCGGCGGTGGCGAAGGCGACGGCCGTCACGGGGGTGAAGTCGGGGGCGTTGTCGTGTAGCTGAAGCCCTCGAGGCAGGCCCCGGGAGCGGGCGACGGCGGCGTGTCATCCTCGTCACTCTCCAGAATCGCTTCGGATACATCGTGCATGACGCGCTCATGCTCTAGTTGATCCTTAATCTGCAAGGCACGCATACACACGTACGTAAATACAAACGCGATCGCAAAACAGACCATCGTCATTAACCAATCACGGTCAAATACATGCTGCCAATCCTGTTAGCAGTCACCTCTACGGAACGGCCACCTGTCCAGAAGGGACACCTTTTGCCGTTTACCTTGAGCAGTCATTAAAATTTATACAGGTTTGACGTTTTACTTAATATGTAAAAATATTATAGGTGATGCATAAACGATAGTCTCAGTACACTTGCGTGTAACAGTTTTTAGACTGACTACGGCTTAAGTATATATAGCGAGTGGAGAGAGTTTACAGAGACGCAAACAACACGCTTGGGGAGGTTCCGTGCTCCATCCGGGCCCGACAGAAGCAAATTGAAAATACACGCCAAGTGATCATGTGTATTGACTGTCGCCAACGCTTCATTCTCTTCCTCTCCGGTTCCATCTTGTTTCAAGCATCATACCGACAAACACAGATGTAAATAATTGGGAATTGGGAAGAGCGTACAAATATGGGAAATATAGAAAGCAAAAAAACCTCAACAAGTGCCACAGAGCGACAGCGCTCAACTGACGTGTACTGTAGCCAGGTATTCTTCTGATAAACTCAACGCAACCGAATCAAGTGCGCCCTCCTGCCACCGAGTTCGCGCTCAGAGCATATATCTAGGATACTACTAATACAGATCTAAAATCTATGATAGGCTTTGCTATACCTACTGGGTGGGAGCTCTAATAGCAAAAGCAGTTTAGTCCTTTGTTAACAGTCAACAAATCCATGTTTAACCCTCCTCTTGAGGGTCAAAAGTTTATCAGACACTTATACTCTTCACACGTCAGTGGAAAGCACATTTCATGGTCCTTTCAATAAAGTGATAAAAAAGGTAGGTCAGCGCTGAAACAAAAAAGTTTTGCACTCGGTCCGTTAGACGATGTCCTCTGGACCTGGGAAATATTCCCCCTCCATTGACAGATCTTGACCTTTGACAATTGACCCCCAAATTCAACATCCCGAGTCCGTTCCGCGTCCCCCCCCCCGACGTACCGAATGTTAAGACCGAACGTCGAGCGGTTAAGATTTGTGCCCAACTGTTGACGCACGGACGCACGGACGGACAGCCGGACAATCGATCATGCGATTCTACAAGCTGCATCTGACTTCGTCAGCTGAGCTAAAAACGGGGGAAAACGGGGCAGATTGTAGGGGTTCATGCACTAGCAGTATAAACAATCAGGAAAATGGTAATGCTAGAGTGTATCTCTGCATTTTCTGGATAGCCGACACCCCACCGACACCGCAGAAAAAAATTGTGTACAATAACGTGCCTATACCTTTTAGCTTCATGCCACTAACAACACGCTACTACGGCTAAGCTCAATGTAGAAACTGTGTGCTAAACATGTGAATGTGTACAATTCTTCACAAGTGTTAGAAGAATGCCCCACAACACGCAACATGAATAACGAGAGCACAATAAATTCCTCTCCCGCCACACCTGTACGTGGTAAAGAAAATTCCACCAGACCGCATTCTAAACAATGTACAAGTCAACCACGCTTACGTGTCTTACGTTATATATACTCTCCCCAGCCATCACTCTATACATGTACAACCACACCTGTGTCGTTAAAACGACTTTCACCGGTGCTCCACAACATAAAATGAGCCTCTAGTCCAGAAAGCACAACGAACGGTTATCTCTTCAACACTGACATCCAATCCTAATACAACAATTACTACAATCCAAGGACAACGACCACTGTTAATAAACACCGATGAGCGGACGGATGCATATCTAGTCAGACGGACTGCTGGATGAAACCGTTCGGCACAACAACCATGCCTTCTTCACCAGACAGGCCTTGTAACAACAGACATGGCCAGATTGCCCTAAATATATCACAACTAGTAGTGACATATTTTTGCGAATAATTCTTCCTCCACTGAACGAGGCAGACGCGACGAGTTGTTGATTAATGAACGTATATCTCTAAGTATTTAAGACAGATTTCACGCGAAAACGTCTGCCTATACATTCATTGCTTCGGAATTGACAATCTCTTCCAATTTCTCTATAGGACGATAAACCGCTACGGATTAGATTCAAGCTAAATATAGCCTTACTTGTTACCAATATACACGCTACTAAATGGACAGTGACTCCGTGAATAAACCCAGGCAAGCCCGTAACTGTGCCGCGCCAGCACAAAGGTTACTTGTAGTTTCACTAGATCCGCATAATCATACCGCCGAAAGTAAAGTTGTCGAGTAAGAATGCCACGTATTAAAACCTCACGAGCACAGCGGTGGCGGGATGAGGGGGGGGGGAATCCTGGAGTCGGGGTGAAAAAACAAAACTAAATTAGCTTGTTCTCATTCCACTAGACCAGTCTACTCGAGAACAACAGCGCTAGTATAGAAACCGCCTGTGTTATAGGAAAAAAAAAACAGTAATCACGTGCTATCACACCGTCGTCGGTGTTTACTACGCGGGGGAGAGCGAGGGGCTTCCGCCCCCACAGCTGTCGACTTAGACGCACCATTTCTGCGGAGAAGAGAAATGAGTTGGCCACGTGCCACCCGACGGTGCGGACAGATACAATAGATAACGTTGTCACCGCCGGCTGTGTCTCGTACGCCCAACGGTGGCGTGCGCGTGCCTGCTATAACGACCGCCGTGCATAGGAGAGTTGAGAGTGACGACTAGGTTAGTGGCACAGCGAATCCACATAAAATCACAGCACAGCGATGGAGACGACACTTCTTCGCTTGCTTTCTCCATCGACAAGAAAACCAACCAAGGCGAGACATCTACGAGAGGTGAATAGCCCGAACTGTATTGGAACAACTGTGAAGTTGCGTGTTGTTAGATTTCTTACGCGCACTGGGTTTCCTACATGTGCTATACTGCACAGCTACGAAGATACACGGATCGATATTAGTCACTGAATTACGCTTACAATCTTAGTAGTTACAGTACTTATTTTTTCAGACTTCAAAATGAAGACCTTACTCGTATTGCTGGTTCTGGTGGCGGTAAGTAAACTGATAAGCAGCAGTTATCTTGCCACGCGCACACGAAGCGCATCGTACTACGCGATTTGGGTCCGCTAAATCAGCTTTCACGGCTTCGGTAAAGATATTTGCGCCAGTCTAGCAACGTAAACTCAGTTGTCCCTTTTCTGTTCACTTATCAAAACTGTTCTCAATCTGTACTCACTAAATGAGATGGGAGGGAGGAATTGGGAAGGGATGTGGAGGGCGATATATATATAAGGGTCACAGTAACAGAGTCGTGCACTAACAATGATGTCTTTAGGTTGCTGCTGCTAGCGGATATGGTCGCCGCAATGGAGGATACGGTGGATACAACATAGGAGGATATGGCGGAGGTGGTGGATATGGCGGAGGCGGTGGATACAGAGGACATGGAGGATATGGCGGAGGTGGCGGATATGGCGGAGGCGGTGGGTACAGAAGATCCGGTGGATACGGAGGACATGGCGGATATGGCGGAGGTGGTGGATACGGCGGAGGCGGTGGGTACAGAAGACACGGTGGATACGGAGGAGGTGGTGGATACGGTCATGGCGGCGGATATGGTGGACGCGGATATGGTGGACACAGTCATGGCGGCGGATATGGTGGACGCGGATATGGCGGCGGATATGGTGGACACAGTCACGGCGGCGGATATGGTGGACGCGGATATGGCGGCGGATATGGTGGACACAGTCACGGCGGCGGATATGGTGGACGCGGATATGGCGGCGGATATGGTGGAGTTTTAGAGTCTGTATTTCGTGGCTCTTGCTGTGGCGTGCGGTGCCGTACGTGCGTGGCCGGCTTTGATTTTCGTGTCTGTGTACGTGCATTGCAATACTATTCTCATTATATACTGGAGATAAGCAAAAGCAAACACTTAGTGTTACACGTCTGCGTATATATGTGTTTATATATATATATATATATATAATATACACTTTGTACTTCATAATCAAGGTGTATAATAGAGAAAGAGATATGTCAGCGGTTTTTAACAGCGTTTTGCATAGGTTTGAACTGGTATACTTAATCTATCAACTATCCGTGGATAAATATATCAAACTTTACTTTGTTTTCGTATGTTTCTCCCTCTTCAGTACTTGACACCACCTAATTTACCTGAAAATGCGTAATGTGCTTCCTCAATTAAAAGTTAGTGAATACGACACGCGTTTCCCACATTATCACGCTATGGCATACATTACTCTCGACGAACTTTGTTTTTATGGGAAGTGTTTCTTATTGTCTATGACGGATACGGCTGGGGGCGTAAGGAAATCAGCTGCTATGCTAGCTGTCAGCGTAGGCGCATTATTTTTAGCTCACGCTGGAAACTGGCTCGCACGCTGTTTTCAATTCAATGCCTAATCATTCCATTACGACCTTCAAAGTTCCGTCATAAGACATAGACACTCTTAGGTCCCATAAACAAAAGTCTCCTCGGTCGGATTAGTGTTATCCATGCGTTGATTAACTGATGGGAAACGCGTGGTCGTATTCAACTAATTTTTGAAGGAACACATTACGATTTCAGCGCTAAATTGGTGGTGTCATTATGATAGGGAGTCATAGATCTGAAACAATGTATTAAGTTTGGAATAGTATTTTTCAACATATTGATAGGATACTTACGCGCAGTTTCAATAACTATGCAAAGGACGCTGTTAGAAACTTTCTGAGCATACTCTTCTCTAATTACCAGTCTCTTGATATAATATATATATCGAAACTATACAGGCTTCTCTCAAGGAATAATTAAACTGGTGTATTAATTTAACTTGTGCTGTGTTTTTCGCGAATGCGTGTGGTAGAGAGGGGCTGACTAGCATTAGATAAAAGTGCTCTCATATGCTGCCTGCTTTCTTTATGTTTGTTCTAGGTAGAAAAATGAGTAATAATCATTGTCTTTTATGCAAACAATGGGCTATTCTCGCTACTTAGTTGGTTTTAGTTGGTTCTGCTCGGATAAAAATTATTTAAATATATAAACAGTTTTCGGCTATCCAGTGAGGGTTGAACATAGCTTTCAGTCAGCAACATTTACTTTGGCACGCTTTGTCACGAGGATCGGTGTGGCTGGCAACCGCAATTTCACGATTATGATCATATCTGTAATTTAATGCAATTATGATGTTAGACAATAACCAGTTTCATTGTAGTGGCTGTGTATAGTGACTGCACGCTTTTCAACATTTAGTGACTTTTGGAAACGATGATAGACAATGAGTGCATAGGTAATATCTTCTAGGTTGATTCTGGAGTCTTTTGCCTTATTGTTTGTCTACTGTTTCATAGTCATATTGAAAATAAATTATTCTTCTTACGGTGGTGTAAGATTGTAATAGCGCACTCGGCTTATCTGTGAGTGTTGATGCAACGATTTCTGTTGGCGCTCGTCGTGTGTGTTAGTATATTGTAGGTGGAGTAACAGCTCTAGATTCTATACACATCTCTCATATAGTCTTTTTAAATTAGATCGTTCGAATTGTGATAGTGCGTTTGTAGTTGCTTGTGTGCAGCTAAATACGGTCACGGCTTAATGTAATGATCTTCAACATTATGCTTGTTGTGGGAGGGGCTATCTTTTACATTTACATATGTGGTTACACTAGCTCCCTGATAGTGTGTCTGTGTGCTGCTGCACAGTTTGCTTGGTG